GAACAGGTTTCTGGAGGCAGAGACTACGTCTTCTCCTATGTTAGTAAATCACCACCAGGCTGGTGCTCAAACAATAACTATAGGCCGAGCTGGTAGCATCACCTATCATTAAGGCACATAGGGAAAGGGGATAGGAGCTGGGTGCAGATGGATAGGAGCAGACAGGGAGGAGGCAAGAGCTGGAATGAGGACCTGGAGCCAGGGGGTGGATAGGAGAAGGGCAGGAACTGGGGTGGGGGTGTGGATGAGAGAGGGAGATAGGGTGGTGTTGGGATGGATAGGAGCGGAGAGGGACAGAAACAGGCTGAAGGCACAGGCACAAATCTGGGTCTGTAATCACTAGAACACATTGCCCTCCAGAACTTGGCAGAGAAATGTAGAGACTCTGGACTCCTGGGTTCTATTCCATCAGCAAATAGCTATCCCGCTAATGGCTGGACCACACAGACTATAACAGCCTATTACTGCTACCAGTTATTCCATTAGCTCAAGTGGTCGAGGTCTGTTCTGTGGATTTAAAAGTCCCAACCCTGCTGATGAGCCATGGGAGGGTCAATATGGTTCTACCATGATGGGATTTCTGGTTCCTCAATTTGTTTTGTCAAAAAATAGGAAAATACATTAAAAATAGTACATGAAAAGAATGTGAAGGCTGCAAAGACAAACACCCAAAAGTTAGGAAATAACAGAATTCAGGTTGCCTGAGCAACATTAATTCAGCCCCAAGTGTGTATGTGTTATGATACAGTCTTTAATTACATGATCACATACTATTTTAACACATGACCCCTGCTTCATTCAGTGCACTGGCTGGACCTGTTCTGGGATGCATTAGGGTTGTGTAGTGAATTTATGTGCAGCAGGGCCCGTCCCTCATGCTGGGCTACTTAAACCAAACTTTTCACAAGTGGGAATTAAATGTGTGTTCCTCATTTTTGGCTGCCAGGCTTGAAACCCTGAGGACAGATGTGCAGAATGCTCACAGCTGCACCTGAAGTCAAGGGGAGCTCTGCTTTGAACATATAAAGTGCTACAGAATGCTAAGTAATTTGAAAACTCAGTCCCTAGGTGTCTCAAGTTAGGCATCCATACTTAATTAGTTTCAGCACCTACAGGTCTTCCCTTTGCGAGTTTGTTACCCAGGGGAGTCAGTGACAAAACAGCCTTCTGAAAAGTACACAACAATGCATTTAGTAGGAACAATGCATTTAGAGAAAAAAGGATTTTAAAACAACAGTTTTCACGCATGTCTGTCCGTCCTAAAATCTTACACTGTCCTGATGGTGAACTAGTCAGGCCTAACTTCTTCGGACACCCCAGTGGGTGCCTGCAGCTTTGTCTGGCCCCCCCCTCTCTTGACCCTTTAAAAATGTCTATGGTCCTTTTTATATCCTGTGTTTCATGGCTTTGACCCTGCCCAGTTTTGTAAGTTGGAACCAGGAGGTCCAGCCTTCACAGCTGATAGTTTAGCCATTATCTCTTAACAACATTTACATGGCAGGGGTGACCACTGTTTCCCTGCCTGCTTGTTCTTCCTGGCAGCCCTGTTAACCCAGGATAGTCATATAATAAACATATCAGTAACCAAGCCAGCATACAGTATTCGTAAATTACTACAGAGCAGTTCCAAATTCACCATCATAACATATATCCCAAGTAGGGTGACCAGACAGCAAGTGTGAAAAATCGGGACGGGGGTGGGGGGTAATAGGAGCCTATATAAGAAAAAGTGCCAAAAATCAGGACTGTCCCTATAAAATCGTGACATCTGGTCACCCTAATCCCAAGATGTAATACCTCAGGGAAGTGCAGGGCATGGGCAAGACTCCATTTAAAGTCACTCTGAAACATGGTTTTTAATGGACTGGATGGTAGAGCTTTATTTCACAGAAGGTTTCAGTGCTGAACATAACATGGTCATAGTGAGGGACTTAGACTCAGATCCTCAAAGACATTTAGCTAAATACATTTGAGAATCTGGGCTTTAAAGTGCTCCCTTCACACCCTCCTCTAAATAAATTATGCAGCCTGAAGCTTCACCAGGATTTTCCTGGCAACAAACATTGGATCAATACATTCCATCATGTTAGTAATATGTAAAAAAATAGTCTGTGATTTCTAAAGGGCTAGGCTCTGACCCAGACCACACACCTGGGCAGGAGGGTCAGAATGCTCTTCACTACCTGGGCTATAGGCTACGTGGTCATTGGGTGTGGGTGACCAGGGATATGGGGCACTGCATGCCTGTTTCTTTCTCCCCACCCCAAGTTGGCAGTGGGAAGTGAGAGGAGCTGAGGCACCAGGTTGGGGATAATAATTTATTGCTGGTAAAAGCTAGAAGCAAATGACTACCCTTTGGAGCAAGGAGGGGATTGAGGCGCCCGGCCCCACAATTCATTCTCTGCACTAATCCTGGGGTGGTGCAGCAACATGCCCCCCTTACTATGGCCTAAGCAACAGAGAGTCCTGTGGCACCTTATAGACTAACAGACGTATTGGAGCATGAGCTTTCGTGGGTGAATGCCCACTTCATCACATGCATCCGACGAAGTGGGCATTCACCCACGAAAGCTTATGCTCCAATACATCTGTTAGTCTTAAAGGTGCCACAGGACTCTCTGTTGCTTTTTACAGATCCAGACTAACACGGCTACCTCTCTGACACTTACTATGGCCTGTGACACTAAGACGCAAAATAGTTAGGACCAAATTCTGCTCAGGCACACCAGTGTAAAGCCACAGTAGCTTCATGTACTTCAGTGATATACATAGGTGAGACTGTGAGCAGAATTTGTCCCTAAACTTTTGCCAGTGCTTTGGTCTGTGAGCTGAGCATGGCTTCATTGCACACACATGGAAAAGGATAACCACAGGACATGAAAATCTCCTGAGAAATTAACAGTTTAGGCATTAATTTTTCCATCACTAAAAAGTTCTGTTCTATTGCTATCCAGGTTACTTTGCATAAGGCCTTCTGTTTCCATTTAGCTGCTATTTTACAGAGAGCAGCTGTGTGTGTTTGGAGTAACAAAAATACATCGGCGTCCAGCAGAGGTGAACTAGAAAGACAATACTTGTGCTATTAAAGGAATGCTGTCAGGTTGAAAATCATGGTTTGAAAATAATAATATATAAATATAAATAAGACATAATATGTCATGTAGGTCTACATGGCAAACCAACACTATTTGCTTTTCAAACCGAATGAGTGTTGCTGTTTTTTTGTGTGTAACTCATTTAGGTTGGCCACTGAAACTATGGAGATTATCTGTCTTGCACAGACGTTGCATGAACTCTTCAAACGTGGAGGGACAAATACACTATCTAGGTCAGATCCTCCGCTGCTGTAAGGTGACTTCAGCTTTATTGCTTCTCAGCTGTATTGACTTCAATGGAGTTGTGCCCATTTACACTTGCTAAGCATCTGGCCCCCATCTACCTAAACCAATAACATGTATAACATTGTATCAGAGCAATTCTTTAAAAACATTCTTTAAAAAGAAGCAAACTGCCCACATTTCCTGGTTTCCTATGTTCCTTGTCATGGTATCTTAGAACCTGGTTAGAAAAGAAAACAGGTAGTGCATTTTTGGGTGGCTCTCTCTGGCTCCCATTGGCCCAAGGCTAGGAGAGATGAGCTAGCAGTTAGTACACTAGACTAGGATTCAGGCAACTTGGTTCTGTTCCCTGCTCACCCCAGTGGCATAGTATCGCCTAGGCTAACAAGGCCTAGGCCTAGGGTGGCAAATTTGCAGGGACGGCAAATTTATAATAGCAGCATTTTTGTAATCGCAGCATCAGTGATTTTACCACACATAGGCGCCAACTTTTCCCGGCGCCGGTGGGTGCTTGTCCCTGCCCTGCCCCCATTCCAACCCCTTCCCCAAAGTCCCCACCTCAACTCCACCCCCTCCTTGCCCCTATTGGACTCCTTCTCCAAATCCCCGCCCCGGCCCCACCTCTTCCCAGAGCGAGCTGTGTTTCCCCTCCTCCCCCCTCCCTCCCAGCGCTTGCCGCCACGAAACAGCTGTTTCGCGAAGCCAAGCGCTGGGAGATACGGGGACGCGGCGCGCTCAGGGGAGGAGAAACGGGGACGCGGCGCGCTCAGGGGAGGAGGCAGAGCGGAGGTGAGCTGGGGGGAGGGGGGAGCGGGAAGCTGCCGGTGGGTGCAGAGCCTATGATTGCCACCAATGACGGCGTGACGCCATTTAGTAAACATACTCGCGAGAATTTGTAAAAAAACTAAAACAAGTTCATATGGGGCAAGGTGTGGCAATTATTTCAGGGCCTAGGGGCGGCAAAATCATTAATCCACCACTGGCACACCCACAGTCTTCTTTCGTGAACTTGGGCAAATTAATCTGTCCTATGCTTCAGTTCCCCACTTATAAAGTGGGAATAGCACTTCCCTACCTCAGAGGGGTGTTTGTAAGTATGATGTCCATTAATGAATAAGAGGTGCTCAGACATAAAAGTTATGGGGACCATAGAAGAATCTAGATCAAATATTTTGGGCGAGGAGAGGGATTCCTTGTCTTGTTTTTCAGGGACAGATAAGGTGATGAGATGGGTGTAGAACTTCAACCTGAACTACCAGGTACAGGCTAATTCCAAAGCAGATCTTAGTTAAGATTGTCTGCAGGTAATGGTCAAACTGCCATAGTGTATAGGGTTTAAAGGTCAGCCAGCATAGATTCATGTCAAAAGCATGGTGCATAGGCACATATGAATGTGGGATGTTGTGGGTACTTTAACTCGGGATTTCTATTCTTTTCAACACCTGTAGAACAAGCTCTCCACGTGTTCTACCAGGTGTCATTCTAAAAGGACAAATTCCACATTATCACTGTTAATAATATACATGGCGTTAAATGTGCCCGAATGTGCACTGTGCACGTTTGTTTTATGGAGGTATAGTGCAAAAAAGGGTTAACAGCCAGATATGGCTGTGGCATGCTGGGAGCTGTAGTTTGCCAGCTGTAAGGCTTCTGGTATTTGTAGTTTGTTTCCACTTCCCCTCTGTGTGTAATGGCTGCCTGCTGCAAGGTACTGTGTCAATCTGTTTTCTTTGGGAAGGTCTTATTTTTAAAATGAATCCGTGACCTAGGGGTTTCTGTAAGAGCTGGACCTTCAGCACAAAATGCAAACCTTAAACAAAGTGAGTTTCAGGTAAAGTTACGTTTCTGGGCCTGATTCCCTGTTGGTTTGCATCTTGTGTTGGCATTGCTGTCAGATCAGAATTGAAACACCTTACACACACGTGCAAGGCAGTTCAAAATTGGGCTCCCTATCTTTTTCTGGGATATGTCCATTTCCCCAATCCATCTCAGCAACTTTATTGGACACTTGTTGGACATTTTGAGCCCCACATTTTGTAAGGAACCCCACCCCAGCTCATTAAAATGGTTTGATATGATTTTAAAATTCAGTGAAAACATATTTGACTGTATGTGACCATCCCCTGCAGTACTGCAACCCAAGCACTGACGCAGAGTTCTTGGGTATGAGAACCTGAAAATGAAGTTGGCTATGGGCTAGTCAATTTCACTTATGTTTAGTTTCTCTGTCTCAGCTGAGTGAAGTAAATGAATAGCAGAAAGAGAGTGAAAATTACTGTGTTGAAAAAATTACTTCCGTTTCCTGAGCTGTGTGTGCAATTCAGGTACAGTGTCGGTGACAGCTGGGAGAGGACTTCCATTGGGAAGTGACTTGTTTGGGGGTGAAGAGTTGAGGGGGAGCAGAGGTAGCAGGGCCCAAGTAACAATGGCAGGGGAAGGCAGCACAATCAAGCAGTGGACGGGTAGGGGACAAGCACTGGGGAGTGGTGGGAAGCTGGTAACTGGCAGCAGGAAAGCCAGGCAGGGTGCTGAGGGGTGCAAGGCAAGTGGGAAGTGATGGACATTGGTGGTGTTAAGAGGGAGGCACGCAGGTGGAAGTAGCCGCAGCAGTATGGTGATTGGGCTGGTAGTGAGTGCAGCGGTGGCTGGTAGTGAGTGCAGCGGTGGCGGCGGCATTGCAGAAACCCCTCTGATCTACAAGCAGTCTGGCATGTGACTAAAATGGTGTGCTGGGACCCCGGGGTTAACAATCTGAGATGCTGCAGGCATTTGTAATATGATTTTAAATCTGTCCCTTTAAATTTCCCTTTGCTCCATGTTTAATTTCCAGAGTATGGAGTATGTGAGGGTCTGTCGGAGAGGCTGTTAATACATCTGCTCTCTACAACTCCAGGTATGAAGATCTCAGCGGTACTGTCTATTTCTGTTATTCATTTAACTGACTGCTCTCAACTACACTGGTTTGAACCCAGAGTAACTCCACTGGCCTCAACTGAGCAACTTTTGACTTATGCCAGCGTAGCCTAGAGTAGAATCTGGGCCGTTCTGTTTGAGCTATAAAAGTATCTGGATCCGACTGGCCCTGAACGATTTCATCCTGTATCACATGGATAGGCAGCGAGTTATATGGACCAGTGGTGCCCGTGCTCCACCAATATTTAGGAACGTGGGCCCAACTCCACCAATGTTTGGGCTTCCCGTGCTTTGGGGGGCCCTGTGCTTCAGGGGGATGCGGGGTCCAGGGTGCGGGCTGGGGCCAGGTCACTCGCTGCTGCCTGCACCAGGCCCCCTGCTAACTCCCCAGGTCTCCCTGGACTCTGCGTCCCCTTGAAATGTGGGGCTCCCCAAAGCGCGGTCCCCAGGTTGGTTGCCCCGGTCCGTCCTATGGACGGGACAGCTCTGCTTGGACCCGTTCTGGGCACCACCACAAATTATACAAACCTGGGCCCATGATCACATGCGCTGTTGGAGTTTTGAGGAATTGTGGCAGTGGCAGTCCAGGTTCAGTTCCTCTCCCGCCGTGTCACACACCGGCTTTTTGTCTGGGTTTGGAGAGCCATGTTGGGGTATCTTGGTCCCACTCTAAGAGAGCCCAGCCTGACACACAGTGTAGCATCAACAAGTCAAGCCCTGTGATTGTTTCTCTGCCCAATAGCATGCTGTAAAATGTATCGATGGTCTCTTTAAATATGTGAACGAGGGGAAGCTAGCGAGATCAGCAAGATGGGGAGAGATGGTCTGAAGAAGAAAACATGGTTTCTGTCCAAATGGAAGGAGGATACACATTCTTTTAGCACAGGTTATAGTCTGCCATCACCTTACTGTAGGTGCAATCAAATAAATTCTATTTTGCCCTTGTGTGGTGCCTTTCGTCTCATAGCGCTTTATACACATTAATTAAGCCTCACAACACCCTTGCCAGGTAGAACAGTATTATGAGCCCCATTACACTGCTGAGTAAACAAAGCTATCAGTAGGCCACAGGAGTTTCCCAGCCAACATCACATAAGAGGCCTCATTCCCCACTACCTTGCACCTCATCTAGTCATTTAGAGCTGTGCACAGTTGATGCGAGACTGAGTGAGTGGAGGATTATGGTTTGGGAGGAGAGGAAGAGAGGAAGGATGGTCCAGTGGTTAAAACAGCAGCCTAGGCCTTGAGAGCCCTGGGTTCACTTCCCTGCTCTCCACTTTGATTCATTGTGCCTCAGTTTCCCCATCCATAAAATGGGGATAATGGCACTGCTCTGCTTACAGAGGTGTTGTGAGGATAAACATGGTAAAGATTGTGAGGTGCTACTATGGTGGTGGTCATTTTACGTGCATTTGCACAGGTGTAAATGACTATGCGACGTGAAAGTCAGTGGTGAATTGAGTCCTGGAAGTCTGTGGCAATGCTCGAGTAGAGAGCAGGTGCTCAGGCGCTCATGTGACGTAACCACAAGATCTCCTTGGAAGTCCTGACTGCGAGTGAAGGTGACTTCCTTTAAACTGAGCTGGGTCCCCTTTCCATGACCCTTGTATTTATATTTTCAGGGGAACAAATAACAGCTGAGTGTAGATGTTTTTAAACTCCTATCTTTGCCTTATCTGCCTTTGAAAAAGCAAATATGAAACTTCGATTGTTTATTTGCCTGCCTCCCTTTAAGATAGCATAACCTTGAGAGTACAATGTGTGAGCTTTTTTGTTTTTAAACCAGTGATGTCAATGCTAATACGTTTCTTTTAAAGTATAAAGCAGTCAGTCCTGCCTTTCATACATACACATCCAGGCTTCTTTCTTCTGCCAAGATTGACCAGGCCTGGGTCAAGATGGGGAAGCAGGATTAAGTGGGGCCACTGGAGGTTGGGGACATCAGAGAGTGCGTATGCAACACTGATATATAAAGGTGGCTTCAAACCAGTTCACAACAGTGAGTAAAGCTGATACTGTACGTAGGAGAGATGGCAGGAGGTAGGAGTCTGTCTCATGGGCACGCAGCTCCCTGCCCATGGTGAGGTAGTTAAGCACGGCAAGAGCCTTAAGACTTGACTCCTCTATCTTAGTCAGAGGAGGATCAGAAAGGCAGCCATGGTGGGCTTATTGTTATTGTTTGTATAGCTCTGCAAGTGGCTAAGAAGTGGTCCCCATTCTGCAGATCACACAGTGAATCTGTTGTTATACAGAAGCTCCCTGACTTACGCAAGCGTTCCGTTCCGGAATGCCTTGTGTAAGTCGAGTTTTGCGTAAGTTGGTAACGTATCTCCGACAACACTGGTCTACAATTTTTGAGAAGTCGTCTGCTTCAGAGATAAAATGTGCTATTTATTATGTATTTTGATGTGCTGAATTCAAATATGACAATTAAAACAACTGATTGGCTACTGTTTCTAAGATATTTAAGTTTTTACATTTTATGTCTATGTATATTGTGTAGATAGTAGAGTTTTAATCATAAATTGTAAACCTAGGTCTTTTCATGTGTTTATGGTTGCTTTACATGATAATATTTCATCTGCCCTGTTTATGTAACACTTTCAAAATCAGCAAAAGGGTTATATAAATAAAATTTATTATGAAACAAAAGGCAAAAAACTATTATGTACATAGTTTAGTCCTATTCAGTGTCTACTCGGCGCTTCTTGGCTTGTCTCTTGTATTCATTAAATGGAGCATCTCTTGTCACTGTCCAGCAATAGTCTGCAAGCATTGATGGGCTCCATTTGCCCTGATAGCGTTTCTCCATTGTTGCAATGTCCTGGTGAAATCGCTCGCCGTGCTCGTCGCTCACTGCTCCGCAGTTCGGTGGAAAAAAATCTAGATGAGAGTGCAAAAAATGTGTCTTTAGTGACATGTTGCAACCAAGGCTTTTGTATGCCTTGAGGAGGTTTTCCACCAACAACCTGTAGTTGTCTGCCTTGTTGTTTCCGAGAAAATTTATTGCCACTAACTGGAAGGCTTTCCATGCCGTCTTTTCCTTGCCACGCAGTGCATGGTCAAATGCATCATCTCGGAGAAGTTCACGAATCTGAGGACCAACAAAGACACCTTCCTTTATCTTAGCTTCACTTAACCTTGGAAATTTTCCACGGAGGTACTTGAAAGCTGCTTGTGTTTTGTCAATGGCCTTGACAAAGTTCTTCATCAGACCCAGCTTGATGTGTAAGGGTAGTAACAAAATCTTCCTTGTTCAACAAGTGATGGATGCTGAACACTTTTCCTCCTAGGCTCCAATGGAGTGGCCAATCTTTCTTGATGTAGTGGGAATCTCTTGCACGACTATCCCATTCGCAGAGAAAACAGCAGTACTTTGTGTATCCAGTCTGCAGACCAAGCAAGAGAGCAACAACCTTCAAATTGCCACAAAGCTGCCACTGATGTTGGTCATAGTTTATGCACCTCAAAAGTTGTTTCATGTTGTCATAGGTTTCCTTCATCTGGACTGCATGACCAACTGGAATTGATGGCAAAACATTGCCATTATGCAGTAAAACAGCTTTAAGACTCGTCTTCGCTGAATCAATGAACAGTCTCCACTCATCTGGATCGTGAACGATGTTGAGGGCTGCCATCACACCATCAATGTTGTTGCAGGCTACAAGATCAGCTTCCATGAAGAAGAATGGGACAAGATCCTTTTGACAGTCACGGAACATGGAAACCCTAACATCACCTGCCAGGAGATTCCACTGCTGTAGTCTGGAGCCCAACAGCTCTGCCTTACTCTTGGGTAGTTCCAAATCCCTGACAGGGTCATTCAGTTCACCTTGTGTTATGAGGTGTGATTCAGAGGAGGAGGATGGGAGAAAATGTGGGTCCTGTGACATTGATGGTTCAGGACCAGAAGTTTCATCCTCTTCCTCTTCCTCGTCTGACTCAAGTGAGAATGATTCTGGTGCATCAGGAACCGGCAGTCCTTCTCCGTGGGGTACTGGGCGTATAGCTGATGGAATGTTTGGATAATGCACAGTCCACTTTTTCTTCTTTGACACACCTTTCCCAACTGGAGGCACCATGCAGAAGTAACAATTGCTGGTATGATCTGTTGGTTCTCTCCAAATCATTGGCACTGCAAAAGGCATAGATTTCCTTTTCCTGTTCAACCACTGGCGAAGATTTGTTGCACAAGTGTTGCAGCATATGTGTGGGGCCCACCTCTTGTCCTGATCTCCAATTTTGCAGCCAAAATAAAGGTGATAGGCTTTCTTAACCATAGTGGTTATACTGCGCTTTTGTGAGGCAAAAGTCACTTCACCACAAACATAGCACAAGTTATCTGCACTGTTCACACAAGTACGAGGCATCTCTGCTCACTTTGGCTAAACAGAAATGTGTCCCTTTGCAAAATCAAACACTGACAAATAATAGAGCACGACACTGTATGATTTCTAGAGCTGATATAGGGCAATTTGTTCAGCAGAGTGATGTAAGCTTCGTTATGATTGCATCATCCATGACTTCTAGGAATAACATGATGCAATTCATATCATGTATGACGCAATACCAGCTTCAGATTGCATCATTCATTGTTTTGCCTAAAAAGCAAGTACTGTCCAAACCCAGTCATAGATTTATTCATAGATCCAGTCAAAGCTGTATTTTAGTCATTTCTGGTTTAAATTGAGATCCCTTCCCTTTATAACTCACTTATCCTCCGCCATTCCCAAGTCAAGGGTTGTATATACTGACCCAATAGCATATCTTGAAAACTAGAGCCAATCAACAATTTTAAGCATCATTTTCGTTCTCAGTGACCCAGAATTAGTAAAGTTTGACTACATTTATTTCAGAAGCATTTTGGCTGTAGAGCAGTGCAATTACGCAAAAAAAAAAAAAAAAAAAAAAAAAAGTACATACAGAACTTTTTCCATAAGTCCGGATTTCCGTAAGTTGGGTTTGCGCAACCCGGGGAGCGTCTATACAAACATTGGGCACACATAGGGAAACAGCTCAGGGACAGGTAGAGCATGTGCAGGGAAATCTATTTAAAGTGGAACCCATGTGTCTGATGTTCTGAAACCGCTGGATAAGCAGAGGTGAAAACCAAAATGCAGAATCTCATCCGTGTGCAGCTGCCTTATGGCCACTTTAGGTTCCTCAAGCATTCCTCAGCTGGAGATCTCAGTGCCAGCAGCAACAGCAAGCGCCCTAGGGGATCACTTTCAGCTGTTCTATTGTGTTTGTCAGAGGAGGACTTACGTATAGTGTTTTTTTCAAAATCCAGAAGCATATTTTCACTTCCCCCAGATGATACTAAAGACAAGAGCAATCGTAGCAGTGGGGATTCAAGCTCTGAGCAGGGCTGGTGGGATTAAAACCGCAGCCTTGGTTTTGGTGGGCTTGTTTTCCTAAAACATCTCATGGGGATACTTCATTTGCACACATGTCATGCTTATTAAAGCAGCCAGCGTTGCATTTATAGTTGAACAGCTGCGTCTGGAAGGGGTGGGCCCCCTCCATACAAACAAATGACACTTGTTCCAGGACTGTCAACCTTCAGCTCTGTGTAAGGCTCCCAATGGCCATTGTACCTGTCACTCAGCCAGCTACAAAATAATCCGCTCCCTGCGAGGTGGTTACTGAATGTTCCGAGAGTATCATAGCAGTAGGCTTGGTGTGCTTGTCAGAGCCCCGCAGCTAGGACATGTCAAATGCAGACAAATTGGCTCATTTCTTTCTTTCTTTTTATTTCCTCAGATGAATCCGCCTCCACCAGTTTCTTATAAATCTGATAAACGTTGCTGGGCTTAGACTGTGGTGTGATCCGTGATATCATCAGAGATCCAAGATGGTGGAATTTAATTGGAGGGTGAGGAGACTTTTGTTGTTAAAGCCTGGGGCGGACAGGGGTGGTGGTGTTAAAGAGGAGTGTGTTAAGCTAGAGTTGGGAATTTTGTGTCGGAGTGTGTGTCTTTGGTTGGAATAAACGCCATGTTCACGTTTAAGGGGATTTAACGACAGCTCTCTCCCCATGGAATCTGGAGACTTAATATTATATTTCCTACTATATATATATTCAGTGCCTTGCAAGTTGACTTTGCTGTGTGCATATGAATAAGGACTTTGCTGTGGGCCTCAGAGTACTATAGGCAGACTCTGTCTTGCTTCTCCATACACACACTCCACATGGCATTTGGCTCTGCTTATCTTACTTTCTGTCTAGTGCCCCTTTCATGGCTGTGCTGTAGCACAGTTGCTGTGTTGTCTATACCACTCATCCCCATGTTGCTGCACGGTATCCCTGGTATAGATATACCACTTAGCAAGCAGCACACCAGACGCAGTGACTTTCTTGAGTTGTGGCAGGTTTTAATTAAAGCCACGAGCAGCTTATTGGTAAGAAGTCACCTGAGGTTATAGCCAACTGGCATTTGGGGCATATGAGAATATTGGCTCTGCTAGTACACCTAGAGATATGCATAAGGGCACCCTAACCCCCCTTAGCAGGTGTACAGTGCTCTGTTCTTTCAGGAACAATGAGCTGCCAGAGAGTTGTCATTTACCCTCTATTCTTATCTTCGCTTGAGTAACATGGGGTGAGTGGAGGAAAGCAGCTAAATCTTATAGTTTTATTTGGCTTGGATTCTCCTCATCTACATTTGTAAAGCTGTAACTTATCCTCTTTTAAATCCCTCCTTAAAACCTACCCCTGCATTGATGCCTGCCAGTCACTCCTGATTAGCATTGGCTAGGCAATAGGTCAGCTGGGACTTAAATTTTTCTACTCAATTCTGTTTGCTTGCCCCATACTCCCATATTTATGTGTGTGCTTAAAGCTGAGCCTGTGTGTAATCTTTGCAGGATCCTGGCCTTGGTTTGGTTTCCTCTGAAGAATTTAATATTGGTCAATATCAGAGACATTATCAAATATCTTCTATCCTGAATCGAGCAGACATCCTCCCACCCACCTATGCCCTGCTTACATTAGAAAAACAATCCATTTACTGAGAACATGGGTAGTTTCACTAAAAGGGTGCGGAACATAGTTTTCTTTTGTCTGCACTTGCAATTAAGTTCAGCACCCATAGCTAACAACCATTCTAGTGTAGGCAGGGCCCCAGGGAACCCTCCACACCACACTGTAATGGATATTTATCACCTCATTGACTTGTGATGGTGCCTAGAGCTTGGTTAAGACTAAATAACGAATAGTTTATTCTGCAAGTTTTTCTGAGTGCAAATTGTCTGCAAGCAGATCTGTTTTCTCAGATTCAGCCATTACTCAGAATGATTGGCCAGATCGCTTTTGTGACTGATGTGTGGCCTGAAGTTTATTCACAAGCAGCACATTGTGAAATATTCATTATGAAATGTCTGAGCTCTTTTGGCTAGACACAGATGTCACTGCTACCTGGGGAAGCAACTCAACATAAAAATGGGGGATGAGCCAGTTGGATTTTTTTTTCATTCAGAACTCTGTATTTTACTCACAGAAAAGCAGTTAACCAAAAAAAAAAAAAAATCAGTATGAAACACGGGGATTCCACAGATCAGCATTTATTATCCACCCCTGGGCAACAAAAACAGCCTTATCCCAGGGAACCTACAACTTCCTGTTTCTGGATCAGCTGCTTTTATGGCCCCTCCCTGGAGCTCTGTGTGGGCCAGAGATGGAATGAACTCAGGGTTATCTAATCTCTGCACCCAGTCGCATGATGTATTTCTGTGCCCTGAATGGATGAGATACTTTTTTTCAATACACAGAACTCCCTTTTTGGACTTCGATGTCTGCACAGGTATTCACAGAAACCATAGTCATTCCTCCCTCCCCCCGTCCCCCCTTGAGAGAGGAATACACATCTCCCCATGTCTGGATGACTGTCTCAACAGATCACCGTTATAGATCAATGTTACACAGAGCCTGGCAGCCACTGCTACATGCCTTCATGATTATGGCTGTCAGTGAACAAGGAAAAGAGCCAATTACAGCCCTCACAACCCCCCAGTATTGGTAGGGTCTGGTCACCATCCAAGACAGTGTCCTTATTACAGTGGAAGATGGTGTCTGTGATTTGTCAGACATTGGCCTACAGCTCCTAAGCTACAATTCTTGGCTCAGCTCTGGCTCTTTTGGTCTCGTACATGAATACCTTGTGCAACTCCTGTTTTGTTTCCATCCTGCAATTGCAACAAACCAGTACATAAAGATCTTGGTCTGGAGCCAGTATTACCATTGCCTGATTTGCTCATCTTTGATATTATTCTGTAGCTACCTGATGTCAGGTCCAGGTAAGACGGTCATCAGCATGGCTAGCAGGCTCCATGTAGCAGGAGCACATTTGGGCTGTTAGGTGCCAGGAGGAGTTTTGATATTTAATAGTTCTAGAGTTATCATCCACTGTAATCACTCTTTTCCAGCAGATGATTCTTCAGAAACCTGGGGTGAAATCCTGACTCCATTGAAATCAATGGCAAAACTGAGTACATAAACTTCTAGGAAGGCCAAAAATCTTCAGCACTGCCCAGGAAAGCAACTTTGATCATGCCTAATGTCTGAGACGAGTGTAGGAATCAGGTGAAGCCTCACAATTACCACTCAAAGTTTGCTTTCTGCACATCTCTTGCAACATTCACTTAAAATTTGCCCTTCAAGCAAACCATCTTGCTGGTAAACTAATTCACGGATGAGCAAACACAGAAGGAGGTGTGAATACGGGCAAAGCAAATTGAGATGAATCAAGGGAAATATTTTGCAGTCTGCACCTGAACTCTGATCCACGTGGCCTGAAATTTCCCATGGGAAGACTGCATGCCCTGCATTGCCATAGCATGAACAAAGTCTTGAATCATGCAGCTTCCATAGGGAAGTTGCATAGTATGCCATAGATGTGCTTTAAATGTCCCAGTTGCTCAAGTGTTGTAGAAACTCTGTTGAACTATATTGTTTTATATTTCAGGTTTTGGAGAATTTTCCACTGCTGATGTACATTTTGGCAGCTAAAACATTAATTCTTTGCTTGGCATTTGCTGGAGTAAAAATATACCAGAGTAAAAAAATTGAACAAAAAATGAGAAAAGAACGTGAGGCAAAGCTGAAAAAGGAAGCAGAGAAGAAGGAAGACTGAAGAGGTGGCTCAGTCGGTGTGTGCTAACAGCAGGAGGGCAGTATACTGTTATAGCTCATTAGTATGTTTTGGTTCTGATCTAGTTGGATTCAAGGGTGATCTCGCTCATCACCACTTATCTTGTAGTCAAACAAATATATTTCCTGTGGTACTTCAGCACATGCATGTACGCTAAGCGGTTCAGTCCTTTAGCACTGACACAATGATCACCAGAAAAGTCACACTGCAGTGCATGACCTTTAAGAGATTCTCTTTCTGCTGTGTATCTACCTAAGCTTTTATACCATGCTCAGTGCCTATGGGATCTGAGCAGCAGAAGACAAGTTTAAATTGGGCTCAACACAGGGGTAACTGCATGAAAATTCTCCAGTCTGTGTTATACATGAGGTCAGGCTACATGATCTAATGGTCCCTTCTGGCCTTTAAAAAAATCTAAGACTTTAAAGAAAACCCAAATCTCTCACATAGTTTAAGTATGTTACAGGACGAAAGTACTTTAGCTGGAAGAGCAAAACCATATCGCAAGGAGTTCTCTGAGGTGGATATATCATGCAAGGTGGATATATCACTACACAACAAGCTATGCACTTTACTGGTATAAATGGGCCCCATTTTGGGAGCTGTGAGCAGTGCTCGGTGCTTAAAGGTGTTGCATACCCTTGCCTCTGACTGGCTTGAGAGAGAGCTGAGCACGCTCAGCATCTGATTGAGCCCATAGCATGGAGAATTATAGTCGTGCCAGTATAATGTACACCATCTAGGATGTGGTACCCAGAAGAGTGTCGTCTAGTGATTAGCGCATAAGACTGCAGGGGGGATCAAGGGACAGGGGTGCTATTCTCTGCTCTGCCACTTGTTTGCTATGTGACTTTGGACAAGTCACTTTCTTGCTCTGTGCCTTAGTTTCTGTATCAGTAAAATGGGGCTAATACGAGTTCCATAGCGCTTTACTTCTTTGTAAATGTAAAGTGTTGTTATTAGCAGAACTCCTGTTGCATTTTTAAATTAAGCATCACCCCACGTAAGAAATCAATTTCGATTTTTTAAAAGTGTTAGCAATTTGGGCCCAAGTCCTGTCACCATTCTTCTTCTTCCGGAACTCCGTCTTGAGTGAATGGGAGTTATGCATAATAGCTGGTGGCAGACTATGGCCCTAAGAATAAGTTGTGAGAATGCAGTGGGTGTCTATATGCCAAGTTGCTTCACCACTTTAGGTGCAGCTTCAGCTGTGATTTTAAACTGATTTAGTTAACTGGTGCACAAGACTCCATAGACACTCCTATTTCAGTTTAAACCAGACTTATTGCAGTTTGGCCCAAGCTGATTAGGAACAGGTTTAAGGCAAATGGAAATAAACGACTCTTAAACTGAAATAAGAGGTTCCCTACAGGGATTTGCAATGATTTAACTAAACCTGTTCAACTAAACTGGTGCAAGCTGTAGACAAGGCCTAAGGAAAACAGCAAAGGGCAGATAGAAAAGTTTCCATGAGACACATTCATTCAGTATGATTCTGCATGTGAATCAAAACACTAAAATGGCAGCTGTCACTGTAGCAGGCAGGGAGACTCCCTGTGATCCAAATATCCAGTCCACAGCATGGCAGCATCACGCCATGCACCACAGGGAGGGTCATTGTTAGCTGAGACAGGAAGATACAGAGGAAAATGTTTTGAATTTCTTCTATGTATAGTCCTTTGATTTGACGTCTGGGAAGGATTAATTTATGAACTAGAAAGATAGGGAAGAACTATTTTGTTTCTTTATCATGTCTGTGACTGTTTTATTAAAATTCTACTAGGCTCGGGATAAGATTTCAAAAATAAATATCCAGGGCTGGTGTATGTGTGGGAGAAGAAGTGTTAAGGAGCCCTCTCCCTCCATTCAAGCCACTGGGACACAGCACTAGGGAAGTGTGGGAAAGTCTGGCTGTCACTGTGCCCTGTGTTTGCAAGGGAAAATGGCTTCCTGCCTAAGGGCTATATCCTGACCCTCCATTAGCTAGTGTTCAGACTGTGGTCAGTAGCACTCCGCTACTTTTATGACATCAGCAAAACCTGCCCTGCCTGTGTCCCGTCACTGGTCCGCCATGAATTTGGGCCAGAAGCATTCTTGGCACAAAGGTTATACCTGCCAGTGTTGGAGATTTTCCCCCCAAAAGGCATAATTTGGTCCTGACGCGTTTTGGGTCTGAATTATATTGCCTGTCATCTTAGACTGTCAACATTGGAGCAGGTCCTCCACTTGGCACTGTACAGCAATGAGAATGTTTTGTGTGTTTAACAAGTAATAAAAATTCTGCTGGAGAGAGAGAGAGGTTAAATCAAAGTAGTTGCATCCCTGCTCATGCCTGGCATCTGGTTTCATATGGAGCCCTTCCCTGATGTTATCCTCTGAGAGAGACATGCTGCCATGAAGCATGGGGAGGCCCAGGGAGTACTGAGGAGATGGGCCTCCACAAGAACACCTTGGCTATCCGAAGGTGTCCCCAAATCCTCAGGATCTCCTCACAGCTATTGGGACACTCATGGATTGGAGGATCAATCTTTTCTTCGTTTACGTGGGGAATGGTGGCAGTGGGAAGAATCCTCCAACCCAAAGTATGTTCTAACACAGGAACATAAGAATGGCCATACTAGGTCAGACCAATGGTCCGTCTAGCCCAGTATCCTGTCATCTGACAGTGGCTGGTGCCGGATGCTTCAGAGAACAGATCAGGGTAGTTACTGGGTGATCCATCCCTGGTTTTTTAGTGCCAGCTTCTGGCAGTCAGGGGCTTAGGGACACCCAGAGCATGGGCTTGCATCCCTGACCATCTTGGCTAATGGCCATTGATGGACCTATCCTCCATGAACTGAACTTAATTCTTTTTTTGAACGTAGTTATCCTTTTAGCCTTCACAACCTCCCCTGGCAATGAGTTCCACAGGTTGACTATGTGCTGTGTGAAGAGGTACTTCCAAATGTTAGTTTTAAACTTGCTGTCTATTAATTTCATTGGGTGACGCCTGGTGCTTGTGTTATATGAAGGGGCAAATAACACTTCCCTATTCACTTTCTCCCCACCGCTTTGTGAAATCCACATAGTGTTAAGGCTGCAGAGCTTTGTGTTCGGCCATGGCTTTCCACATGGGAAGGCTGATTTAGACCAGTAGTTCTCAATCTTTTTGGGCTCAGTGCCCATTTGTAAATGTTTATGGCCTGTCACAACCCAGTAAATACTTTGAGGGTGGAGGTTCTGGGGCAGAGTTGTAACTAGGCATTTTAGTGCCCAGGGTGAACAAGCATATTTACGCCCCCTACCAGAGGTGATGTGTGGGGCGGTCACGTGCCTCCCCAGATTTTTTGGTTGCACCTCCCCTCTCCAACCCAGACAGCCTGGGTGGTCTATTGAGGTTCATTGGGGGTGGAAGTGGTGTGCCCTCCCTGAGCCCCGCTGCATGGGATTGACCCCATCAAGCCCTCCCTGGCATCGCTGGCCTGAGCCACCCCTGAGGCTTTGCGCTCTGGGCAGCTGCCCCTCTCGCCCTGCCCTGGTTATGATCCTGCCCTGAGGTGGTTTCAGGTGGATCCTGCCCAGCACTCATCCCACAGTGGCAGCTCCTGTGCCGTGGGCCTGACTGGGCTTGGCTCTGGGCATTGCAAACTCCGGGATTGCAGCACCACTCAGGTTTGGCCCTGCCCCCCCTGACTGAACCAACTTTGTGTGAGTGGAGTTGTGAGCTGGCTCATGGGGTTGCAGTACCTCTCACTCAAATTTGGCCTACTCGGACTCCCATAGTCATGACAGCTGGGCCAAACCTGAGTGGCGCTGGGACCCCAGAGGTTGCAGTGCCTGAAGCAGGGAGGCGAGCCCAGCCAGCCCTGTGGGATAGGAGACACAGGAGCTGCCATGTGCCCCTTCGAAACATTCTGGCAACCCAATTTGGGGGCCCAACCCATGGGCTGAGAAACCCTGAGTTAGACCATATGTTGTAAGCGTAGCATGCTTTCTGTTCTCACTAATTTAATCATTGTTTTTTCTCTGCAGATTTCCTGACATTTCCTGCTCATGTGGATACCTTTCCCGGGAGGGTGAAGACTTCCCTTAGATTGAACGATGTGTCAAAGAAATAAACCGTCCCCGAGCAGCATTCACTTAAACTGCATATTGACTTTTTAAACATGTAATAAGAATATCCATCCTCTCTTTATTCAATAAAGGTTCCTCAGTAGGAGCGGCCTGGGTCTCTGCTTACCAGAAATGCTGCACTTAAGGCAGGTGTCGTAAAAGAGGCTGTTCTTAAAATCAGCTGTGGAGTGCAGAAAGACAATCACTTCTAACGAGGAAATCCATCACAGGTGCTACAAGCTGGTGGTGCTTGCAGGAGGCAGATAATAGAAAGCCCCAGACTCTCCTTGCTCCTGTCTCAAGGCAACCAGCACCAGCTGCAGAGGAGAGCATAGGGCAGGCCTAGTCCCTCCTCTGGACACAGAAGAACCAATCCAGGGTGTAAGCTATTAGGGACAACATCTATGTGTCTTCCTAGATCTACCCTACATGCAGCGCCTAGTGCTCACAGTGCTGTACTGTAAAAGTAATAGCACAAATCAAACCATAACTCTTAAAACTCAGCAATTTCTGCCCTTTTGAGGAGCTGGAGGTTTCGCTTGCATTATTTTGCTACACAGAGAACACTTAGAGATGCCAATAGTTACAGCTGCCTCAGTATTTCCATTATAAAGGGTCATTTGTCAATGGCTTATAACTTCTCAAAGTTTCACCCTTGTGTCTGAAATTTGAGGGAAAAAATCAGGCCTGTGGCTCTGAGGTCACAATTCGGGCCTCCGTATGGTGCAAGAGGTGAACGAACAGTGGCTCACTGCTGCCCTCTTTCTGCGACTGCCCATTGTTGTATCTGATGAAATCAAACAAGCAATTCTAGCTCTTGGAGACTGTAGATATTGTGGGCATTGATTTGTTTACCGCTCATGTAACTGAAGTGCAGCTCTGGGGTGGGTTTCAGTAGCACAGAATTACATAGGCTACTAGTAAGGGTGATGACTTTTTATTAAAACCTAGCAGTCAGGCTAGCTATCTCCATGATAGTCTCTGACAATCCATGTTTTGTAAAATTTATACATCTACCAGGGACAGAAACTGAGAAGGTGTGGAAAGGTGAAAGAGTCTGTGGTGGTACAGGACTCCTGTGTCTTGCACTGTGAGTCTCCAACAGTTTCCAGCTGACAAGCCTGTCTGTGGAATATTTATGTACTGCCTAGGGCCATCATGTGGCAACTATAGTGAATTACAACAGTTTCCATATCTGCCTCTGGATCATGTGCATGTATGAACATGGTGTGTAGTCTCCTTTAATGACTCCACTGCATTCAGTTCCATTCTGCTACACTGTCTGGGGAAAAAGCACACATAAAAGATATTTAATCAAACTGTAAAGCCCAACCCTTCAGAGAAAGCACGTGAAAGCCCACTGGCTTCAAGAAGATGTCATGCTTTGTCAGGTAATGACTGAATGTATCAGAGCTGATATGCCAACATATTTGGGCCATATCTCCATGATCTTCCCTGATTTTTCGAGTCCTGTAGCTAAAATGATCCCCATCCTAGGAAGTGGCATACATGGTTACAGTCCAAGAGCAGATTTTTAAACACCGTTAGGATAGCAAGCATTTGACTGTGTTGGAGTGTGGGTCTCTACTCTGAACCATGATTATATAACAATGGCACGTCCTCCCTCAAAACAGCTGCCCCCAGTGCAGAGTCAGCAAAACATGGGCCTACTTAAAAAAAAAATAAAAAGGAAGAAACTTGCTTAGTGCACAAAGCAACCGAGGCTGGTGTTAGAATTTGTGGGGCCCCAACCTGCCAATGGGGAAAGGAGGATGTAATAGTCCGGTGCGGGAGCTGTGCCCTCTCAGGGGCCGTCGGGAGCCAGGCCGCCTCACTACACGGCCCCCCCAAGTCGGTCCTCGGGTTCCGAAGATCTTGGGGTTCTGCCCCTCAGGCAGGGGCTAAACGAAAGCACAAGGTTAGATAGGCCCAAACGCTAGCTCAGGGCGGGGCCACACACACAAGGGTCCGAGGGGCTCAGAACCTTCCTACAGGCTGAGCCAATACCGCAAATAGCTAAGCCCCTGCCCTCAGTCAGGGCGGGGCACCTAACCCTTAGGGTTAGGGATTTTGGGCGCCAGTCCTTGCCTCAGGGGTTGGGCAAGAACACTAATCTCGGGGCTCAGTCCTTGCAGCAGGAGCTGAGCAATCACAGTTAGGTAGCCCAGGCCCTTAGTCAGGGCGGGGCAACAAACAGTAGTTTCAGGGGAGGCTCGGTCCTTGCAGCAGGAGCTGAGCAAACACAGTTAAATAGCCCAGGCCCTTAGTCAGGGCGGGGCAGCAAACAAAAGTTCAGGGGCTTAGGCCCTTACGGCAGGGCTGAGCGCAAACAAGTTCAGGATGCCCAGGCCCTTAGTCAGGGCGGGGCAGCAAACAAAAGTTCAGGGGCTCAGGCCCTTATGGCAGGGGCTGAGCGCTTTGGGGCAGTCCTTGCCCTAGGCAGGGAGGAGGAGAGACTGCCACCCGGCGTGGGGTGGCAGGGGGGAACACAGGCCCACCCACTCCACTGTGTTCCAGCCCGGGGCCCTATCCGCAGCAGTCCGTCTGCCGCGGGGTCAGTGGGGATCCTGCCCGCAACACACTGACATCGGTTCCGGGTCTGCGATCCCCGGGCCACTTCCCATCTCCTCCTCCTCCTCCATGGGTACCTGCTCATCGCCGGGCTCGGCAGCGGGGTCCCACACCATGGGCTCCTCGTCTTGTTGAGGGCTGTCTAGGTCGGGCCGCTCCTCCGGTCTCGGGTCAGGGGGATGCTCGGGTCGCTCCTCGGGGTACCGCTCTCGGGGCAGGCTCGGTCCGTCGGCGTCCGGGTACCTGGCTCTGGGGAGGCTCGGCCAGTCCGCCTCGGGGTACCTGGCTCTGGGGAGGCTCGGCCAGTCCGCCTCGGGGTACCTGGCTCTGGGGAGGCTCGGTCCAGCCGCGGCAGAATACCTGGCTCGGGGCAAGCGCGGTTTAACAGGAGCCCGAGCAGGAGCGTCTGGCCTCTCCGGCCGCTGGGCTCCAACTGAGTGCTGGGGCCTGGCTTTTATACTTCCTGTCCCGCCCCTTGACTTCCGGGGGGCGGGAACAGGTGGCGGTGGCTCCGCCCACTTGGGTGGCCATTCCGGCTCCTCCCTCTCAGGGGCCGTCGGGAGCCAGGCAGATTCACTACAGAGGACAATAAAACAAAGGCAGCACTACCTCCTCATCCTGTCCCGTGGCTGGAGGGGGTGAGGAAGCCAGGGGGGAGTTGGTTTTTCCCGCTCTCTACCTCAGATTCTGCTGCCAGAGCAGGAGTCCCTGCATGCGTGCTCTGTAACTCAAAGGCTGGCCACTTGCATTCCTTGTGCTTTAGCTCTGCCCTGAAATTAAGCAACCCAACCATAACCAAACATGCAGTACCTTAGCAAAAGGACGGCATGGGTGTGTGTTCGTGTTCCCAGAAATGTCAGAAGCATGCTGGTGTCTGCACTACAGAAACAAACTGGTTTTCAAGTCTTAATGGATCATGGTTTTAAAGAGCTTCTCCACAACCATGAGGGCTAGAAAGTTACTTTTTCAAGAAAGCTGAGAGTCTCATATAGTCACAGGACTCCAGCAGCTGGGGCTTTAAGAAAAACACCAAGTATTGTGAGACTAATGATAAAAATCAGCAACATTGTGCATTATGGACTGCTTGAATAGAGTAGGTATGGCTTGACCCAGCAATGCTACACTGGTTTTTTTTATTTAATACTTTGCTTTTTTTTCATACAAAGTGAAAGTGAAGAAAAAGGATTCCAGCTGGAACTGCATCAGACATGTTCAATAAAGAGAATGTAATTACCCACTCTGGAATTTGACCTGAACAATGGTGTTAACAGCCTGGTTTTGGTGTCATTGATTTTTTTTTAAAACCTCGAGTGGTTAGGGCCTCAGCTTTAGGTTTCTTCTGAAAAGCAGTGTCCCTTAATATTGTAGCAAGTTACATCTTCTCTGGCCATGATACTCAGGGATGGGACATTGCACTTCCAAGAGGTTTCTGGTGTTTATACTTATTTAGAAGGAGAATATGCAGCTAAAATGCCATATCGCCAGAAAAATCGCAGGCTCACACTTCCATGGCTGATTCTTGTCTACCAGGGGATTGGTTCAATAATACAGCTAATATAGCGCACCAGACTGGGATTTGGGAGTCCTGGGTGCTGTTCCTAGTCCTGCTGAAGTCATTCAGGTGCTTCAATATCTTTGAGGATCTTTGCCTCAGTTTCCCCATCTGTAAAACAAGGATAAATGATACTGATCACTTTGAGATCTATTGATGAAAAGTGCTATACAAGAACTAGGTATTATTACTTCCAGCAACAAGTGAGTATTTCTTATAGGTTCCCCCATCCAAGTACTGAGCAGCCCTACTTAGTTTATGAGAGCAGACCCCAAGGGATGTGGCCATGTTTTTCTCAATATACCATATATACTCGTTCATTAGCCCGTTCGTTTATAAGCCGACCCCCCAAGATAGTTAGGTAAAAATAGCAAAAACTGTATGACCCTTTCATAAGCCGACCCTATATTTCAGGGATTGGCAAACTTTGACTCCTGGCCCGCAGGGCCGGCTCTAGGCACCAGTGCTCCAAGCATGGGTGTGAGGCGCAAAAAGCCGGGAGCCGGCCCTGAGCAGAGGTGAGCTGCGGCAGTGGGGGGCACGAGGAGGGCCGCAGGAAGTAACCCGGGGGGGGGCAGAGGAACCGCCCCGCACTGTCACAGCTCACCTCCACTCCGCCTGCTCCCCTGAGCGCTCCGCTCCGCTTCTCCCCCATTCCTCCCAGGCTTGCTGCGCAAATCAGCTGTTTTGCGGCAAGCCTGGGAGGGAGGAGAAGCGGAGCGGTGGCAGCACGCTCAGGGGAGCAGGCGGAGCGGAGGTGAGCTGCAGCGGTGGGGGGCGCGGGCAGGGCCGCAGGAAGTAACCCTGGGGGGGACAGAGGAACCGGCCTCCCCCAGCTCACCTCCGCCTCCTACCCCAAGCGCGCCACCTCTCCGCTTATCCCCCCTCCCAAAATGCAGTGCACCCGGGGGAGGAGGCGGGACCGGGGATTTGGGGAAGGAGTTGGAATGGGGCGGGGAAGGGGCGGAGTTGGGGCGGGGCTG